GGAGAATTTGCGGTTTCAATCGTGTCGATTTTTATCATTAAGTACTCATATTAGGATCTTACTCAACGTCATTGTGTGATATAAAATGTGCGCCTAAATGATGAGGACCAAAACATCCATGACGCAGCCACGCGAAGCTGGCGGATAGTTAGAAATACATAGAGTGCGGCAGGGACTTTTAAAGCGAATCGTAAGTCGGACTGCTTGACATAAGTTCTTGATTATACGCTTGTAGAAGGTGGTGTCGCTCCTCCGTTAAAAAGTCTGGGATTTGGAATTCCAGGACGCTTGCACGGATTCGGGTTTTTTAGTTTCAATGTGTCTTTTGTTCTAGCGGCAGAGCACGAACAGAAGTGGCACTGAAGCGAACGTTATTGATACTAGCGGTTGTTCGCGGTTACGGTGATATTGGGATGTAAAGAGTGTTTCACTGGCTTATGAAACAATCGTTGTGCTTGGCCGATGCGTTCGTCGCTGCATGAACTTCGTAATCCTCGTTAGACAGCGGTCACACTTCGCGATGACGCGCGTCGACGCGCTGTCATTGGAACCGCGCTCATTCGCTATAGACGGGAAGCAGCCACAGACGCGTAACGATCGGTGTCGGCTGCTACTGCTGAGGGAGTATAAGAAAACGGGACGGTGCGCGTTGCCTAATCACAGTGTATAGCCTCGTGTTCTCATGTGCCCTTTCCCCAAAAGACTAGCGACGGCAGCGATCGATGCCAGACCGCGTGATTAGCGTGAACGAGCGCATGGATTCTCTCTGGAGCGCTTTCACTGTGATATCATCAGGACAAGGCGGAGGTGGTCTAGCGGCAAGTGACACGTTCACCGCGCTCATTTGACGGGTCCAATTCCGGATCGTTTCCTGCCCAGGCACCACCCTTCTACCCTGCGGGGACGGTATATTGGTACCAGATTCGTTTTGAAAAGGTTGGAACTCTGACTTGAAAAAGCCTTCCGCAATCGCTTCCAAGAGGTCACTGCGGTTCTGAATGGAAGTAGGGTGCGTGCCGTATCCTACAAAGGGACTGACTAATTTTCCTTCATTTTTTCAAGGCTCAATAGTTTCAAAATTTCCTTTCTTATTTTTGGTCCTTAGTCAAATTTTGGTCCTTAGTCAAAATATTTCAGGGTTGAAACGAACCCGACAAATAGCTGTGGAATTGTCTCCGTCAAATGTTATTGTGTAGTAATTTGAGCCATATATCTAGGGTTCCGCATGCAGTGTGGTTTTCAATTTGTTGATTTGTTAATTTCTAGGAATAAGCGTTGATTTATGATCATTTTTGGGGTTTTAGGTAAATTTTCGTTTAATTCATAGGGTTCCATGATTGACCTCTACCTCGATCCGCCTTCCTCCGGGTCGGACTTTCTCATTTTGATCCTGTCGTTTTTGATCCTCAGTCATTCTGCCGCCTAGTGTTTCTTCAACGCGTAATAATCGTTCGCTGCCATTTTTTTTCGTCAATGTAAAGAGTAGTGTGTGCCTGAGAATGGTTCAGTTTATTTTTTGCTCTGACGTCGGGAGCGTAACTCCTTCATAGAAGGTGTCGTTTTTCTTCGAAATTATTTCTTTGTGTCATGTATAACTCTTTGTACAACGGTAATTTGATGTTGACAGCGATCTCACATAGGTTGCGCTTGCTGATTCCTGCCTATGTTCTTTAACTTCCCATGTATGCAAGTCATAAATCTATTATATCCGCTTTGACTGTTTTTGGTGTAGAAGGGATTATTTTTCGATGTAGCATTCGGGCCTAAAGGCAGTTGGCACGATGGTTTGCTACTCGGCCTAAAATGCTAGTAGGGCGCTATATAGTGGGGAAATGGCGAAAGAACGGAGTGAAACGGTCAAAATCCTGCGAAGAAAAAGCCTCCGTTCTCAGTGACTTAAATCGATTTCGGACGAGTTTCCCGTAGGCATCTTGCCAATCACCGCTACCGAAGATACGGCTGCATATGTGTACCCATGTATGCATGCAGCATCACGGCCGCTTCATACCAATCCCTTCGCTTCATAATTTGCTTAGCAAATGAATGAATACGAGCGTCAGGAACGGTCGTCCATTTGTGGGCGGGCGGGCGTGGCGGGCGTTTGGGACGTAAAGTTGTGGCTTGATAGGGCCTCTTATAAGGGCACCTTCCTTGGAGAAAGCCGCTGTGCAGGGCCACGCTTTCCGTCCCCAGACGTATGGATCCTAGTCGTCTGGGGGGATGCTATCGTGCCAACTGCCTTGCCACAGAACAAGCCACCGCGTCAAGTAGTTACATGGTCGCTTCCTGGCAAGTAGTTCAGCCCCCAAGCTAGATACTATCTCACTCTCGCGACTCCTCAGCGAGCGAAGAGCGAGCTAGAACCGCTCAAAGTTCTAGTTCTAACGCCTGCTCAGTTGGACCGCCTCACTAGCTAGCTGCCCTCTGACGGAGAGCCGCTCAGTTGTTCCTTGTTGGGACGGCAGTCATTAATCGGAACTGCATGTATTTTTTGCTGACCGCGCTCGTGCTCGTAAATAATTCTCTGCTTCTCCTTCTCAACATTTTGTAGCACGTCCAGTCAAACAGCAACGCACACACACAAGGTAAAACGCGTAAAAATTCACGGTTTTCTTTATTCGCATTCGATGATATTCCACTATCTGGAGGTGTGGCAAAGTGTAAAGGCCGGGGACGCCATAGTCTCGGCCTTTGTGTGCGGTAAGCGATTACTCTTCAACTGAGTGTCTAACAAATAAGGGGGATTTAATTATAAAGTTTATGTGCAATCAGAAACAAAAATAACCGACAAGGAAGAAATGAGATCCTAAATGGGAGAATGCAAGAAGTGTCGAAGTTGCGTGCGGAGGCCCGAAGCTCGTCGCTGATACGGTGACGTGACGACGTAGCCGATTGGAGGACGAAACACCAGTCGACGAAGAAAGTGGCAATCGTAGAGAACTGTTTCAGTCTTACAGCTCCTCCTTATATACCCGAAGGTCCCTCCCCTATCTTGCCTGAGGGGGCCCACAGAACGACTACCTTGCCTGAGGGGCGCGCCTCCACAGATCTCGACAGGAGGGGCGCGATCTACCTGTGAGACGCGACCACCCAATGCGTCTCCGCCATGGCCATCTACTCAACATGCCTCCCCCTCGTGGAGTCGTCGTCCTCGACGACCGTTCGAGTTCAAAATCTCGAACCCGCTCGCTTTCCTGCGGGTAACACAGCAATCTTGCTGCCGCCACTTTTGCCTATAAGTGGGAACTTGACAAGCCTTCACTGTCACCTCTTCATAAGATTTAGCATTCACCTGGCTACGGCAATAGCTTGAAGACACCCACCACCTTGTTTCTATTTCTTTTCTCCCAAGATACGAGGTCGTCGCTTCCTGAATTCTTTATTTACGGCCACGTCAATTCCCAACTTCTCCAACGCGTTCGTTCCAAGAATAGTCTCTGCTTTCTTGTCCGCACTAATATGGAACGCAATCATCTGGGGTTTCCACTATCCATTTCGCTATGCTGCCATCTACCACAAAAGTGATTTTGTGAGCCAGGGCTTGCACAGAGACCGCAGGGAGGTGTGACTGTCAGGTCGCGATTTTGTTTATGGTGTTCTTGAGGGCTCTTGTTTCTTTTTTCCTTCATTGAGGAATTACTTATCAGCTACTGTTTCATAATTGATCAGCAATTATCCTTGACACTTTTATCGCGGGAGCTGTCTTTAAAGTCGCAATCGCCTGCATTCATTATGATGTTGAGCGGCCTTCTTCGACATGGTAGTCTTGCTGCGGGCAAATAGAGGGATGTACTCTGCTCTCGCAGACTTCAAAAATACAGCTCGTACACGCGAAGAGGGCCAAAGCTTGGCCTACCTGGCCAGGGACAGCGCCTAACTTTCATGTTTTGGGCAAATCGGTCACGAAATAATTCCCAGAGGTGTAGGATCTTAATACGCGTAGCAGGGCAGAATTTGGCGCCCCTGAACAGGCGATGCGTAGCGCCTTTTGCAGGGGAGGCAGCCTTATAGCGCCCTATTAGACTGCAAAATACGACAGGACGTTCCATCTCCGGCTCACCCATTTTCGAAGAGTTGATATGAAGCGGTTGCGGTGACGACTGGATAAACTAGTCTTCGTCCGGAACTGCTTGTTGAGCGCGTAGAACAAAGGCTTTTCGCAGGTTTTTGGCCGTTCCACTTTGCTCTTTCGCTACTTGCCCACTACTGCTACCATTTTAGACCAAGTACCTAGTTATCAAGCCTTGGGCACGCCGTCGCGTTGTGATCATTTCCTGAAAAATACGACCCCCCTCCCCATGCTACCTACCACTTTCCTAGATTTTCCCAACTTCCTACCACTTTTTCCCGAAAAATTTCCAGTTTTTCAGCCAAGAATTTTCCGTCGAGCGAGGGGGGATATATCCTATGTGAAGGTCGTCAGGATTTCACTATCATTTTCAACTATCGGAAATAGTAGTTGTATAGATCTTTGGCAGTCTCTCAACAACGGCCAAATACGACCCCCCCCCCCCCTTTATACCGTCCGTGAAACAAGAGAAATCAACTACCAAAAAAATTTCTCAGACCGAAATACGACCCCCCCCCTTCGCGGTCAAATACGTTGTGATCATCACAACGATGGCGTGCTCTGGTTGGCGCGCTGTCATCTATGTGATCTCCAAAGGTAACCATACGAAATAATTTTATCAAAGTATGCGATTTAATAGAAGGATAACCATGAAAACGTTTGGATGGTGCACCCTTTGTTAAGAATGTTTTAACATATATCTAAGTTCTAGTTAGAGACACGATCTCCGTTGCAACTGAACGGTAACGGACTGCGGAGCGAATGTCGACGAACCTGTGAGCGTTAAGGTTTCCTGAAATAAGTGCGCTGTTCCAAATCGAACGCATCTTTTCTAGTTTCAGAAAAAAAAGTTCTTCACGAGTTATGCAGTAATTACCTCAGTATCGTTAGTCGCAACGATATTGTATCGTTGGAAGAAGATGAGCGAGCACTAGCTTTCTCCTCCATCAGAGCAAGCCTCATTCCTATGCACTGCCTTGGGACCGAGGCCAAATGACAGAAATGCGGCCGCTGGACGGTCAGACTGCTCAAGCCATCTGGAAAGATGATTTTTGAAAGCATCTGCTGCCACGGTGGAAAACCTTAGAGGCAGTATGGAACATGTGTCCCATACCGGAAAATGAAATTTCATTAGTTTACAGTGCTAAATAATGACAGTTCCAAATTGGAGGTTTTCCGAAAGCAGGATCTCGATTTGGATGTTTCATAGGTAGAATTCGCCTTTCGAAACTCTGCTTCCTACCTAGCTGAAGTCTAGCTTCAGATTTCGACATTGAGGGCTAGACTCGGAAACTGAGGGGTTTACCTTTCTGGGCGGAAATCATCGGCATCGTCGCCCCAAATTTCGCGATTGAAGTGAAGTGAGAGGGTGTCGGCGCATACAAAGTCGCCCTCATAAACTGGTACGTCTCCAAGTGTGGTAGCTTTCATACAACGACGAGAGTTGGCGCTGAAATAAGGCTTATTTTGGAAATAACAGTTCATGAGTTTGGGAACAAAGAATATCATTATTAAAGTAGGTATCCTAGTTCTTACAAAGCTGCTAACGGATACATTCGCAGAGACTCCTTGATAACGACGTCGAGATATCTCAAGCTCGCCATCGTTTCATAGCTGATCGACTGAAAAACTGTATTCTGATCACATGGTATCTAAGTGTGCTCTCGCTTGTCGCAAATGTAGGTGAAACTCGTGGACGAGGCTTGCAGGAGCAGTCCCGGTGGGGGAAGGGAGGGGGCGAGGGGATTTTGCAGTTTCACTACTTCCCATCGACGAGTTTATTGTGTTTCAAAAGCTGGCAGGTATCTTTGCAACAGTTGCCAGAATGCCTCCACAAACTTTGGGGTATCACTTCATGACTTCACAAAATTCACAGGTTTCTTTTGATGGCTTGATGGCTTGACGGGAAGTGGCAAAAAAGAAAAGTGCTCCTCCTAATCCCCCGTCCCCCCGCGCCGTACTGCGTCGCTGCGTACACTAGTTTAGTTCAGAATCGCGAAGGCACTGTTAGCAGTGAACTTCTCTCTTCATGCATTGGCCTAGGCTAGCTTCGTTATCGATAGGTAGCGGAAGATCATGCTTGTGCGGCCCTGAGGCATGTAGGCTAGTTGGCCCCTTATTCTGGTGTGACTCGAAACAGGTAGAAAGTATCGCGTCAAGAAATAGAAATGAAAATTTGACGCCAGTTCGAAAGAGGTGCTCACCTAAACACACGTCGCAACGTCACACCAACGGCTTTCGCAGCGCAACATGGGCCTCTCAACGAACTTCAAACCAAGTTGGAGGCAATGGGCAAGATGGGTGGGGTGGCCGCTTATTGCAAAGTTACTGGTGGAAAAGTTGAGTGGGGTGTGGCCAAACGCCCTTTCGTAGCCCTCCGACCAATGACGTCGGCAGTTACCGCCCGCATTCAGCGATCGTGACCACTGTCATTGAGCAAGAAGGCTAGAAGTCTGGAGCTTCAACATACCTCACGATTGCAATGCTGATCAATCTCCTCTTGAAGAATCTTCTGAACTGAAGGGTGTTTAGCCAGCAGATAGGTAACAAATGCTAAAGAGGTGGCGGTTGTATCGAAACCTGCCAGAAGAAATACGAAGCACTGAGCGGTAATTTCCTCCCTAGTCAAATGTTTTGACACCTGAAAAAAATTGAGGAAATGTGATATTTCCACCCACAAAAACTGCAAATATTGCTAAAAATTTACTTGGACTCCTGTCTTTGAGAACTCTGCCTTGTTGTCAAACTCTTGTTCGGCTCTCGCGTCCAAAAATAGGTCTATGAAGTCTGTCGGCTCTGGTGATACTATACCTGCTGCGGTATTTCTGGCCTGAAGAAAGTAAAATCATGTTCTCTGGAGCGCTGGTCATTTCAGAGGGGTTGAGGCGGCTCTAGCCAGTTATACTCCAATCGCGGAAGCTGGAAGGCCCACAATTAGTGAAACTGGCTGGCGCCGCGCCAAACCCAGTCTCCTCCCTGAAATGCCTCAGCGTCTGCAGCGAACAAGATTGTAGGCAGAACTCTGCCGTATTAACCGTAAGCTGCACTGAGCGAAACTCACTCGGGCTTCGATCCTCTCGTCGATAGTCTTGTAGATCTTTTCGAAAAGAGCAGGAACTGTACTTTTTCTTATGGGAGCTGCAGCAGTGTAAATCTTCCTGAAAAAGGCCTTGGAAGAAAAAGGAAACTCAAAATTACATTCGAAATACTCTTGAGCTAATTCGCTATGTCTATCATGCATGTTTCTCACCTTAACGGAATCCGAAGACTGGGAACTAAGCTGGCTAAGTAAAATACTGGTCGACGGAGGTCAGCACGGAATATCTGGTAAAGGTTAGCATATCAAAAATCAGTAATAAACCATGAATAATTAGTCAGAAATATTCTTAGTCGTGGTGAGGATAAAAGGTCGCTCGTTTGGATTAATTTCTTTCTGAGAGTTTAGAGAATAGTTTATCTTTTGGAAAATTCAACTGACAGCATATTTGGGTAGTTCATATTTCGACACACGAAAGCTGTCGCAGCAGAAAAAATGGTTACAAACTAGGGCCGTTAGAAAGGCTCGGACGGTAAGAGAGGGGCAGAATTCAATTAATCACATACAGTCTTATTCATTGCTGAAGCGTTCAGCGGGCGGATCTTAGTTTGACGTGGCGCCAGTCACTTCTCCATTGATTATTGAAGCGGGGAAGCGTTACCAACTGGAGGAAATCGGGGAAAACGGTTGTCGCAAAGCCAAACCCAGCCCTTCCCCTCACATGCACAGCAACAAGACCAGAACAGCGTATTCACAGGATTTGTGATCCAATCCAACCACTTAGCGCTGGAACGTACAAGCTGAAGAGATTTAGAGCGATAAGTAAAGGTTATGGGACGTGGCAGCAGGGCACGCCATCTTTGTGATCATCACAACAGGGGGGTCGTATTTGCCCGCGATGGAGGGGGGGGGGTCGTAAACGCATGGCCCATGTTGAAGGAGAGAGCGGTGATACACGGTACAAGTAAAAAGAAGCTCAAAAGGGACGATGTAGATGACAATAAATAGAACTAGGCACTATCGAACTATTCCTAGGCCAAAAACTAAAAAAAATATTGCTGAAACTTTTTCCTCCTTCCTCACAAAAAACTTCAAGACACTTCGCCCACCAACCCTCCTCATCTGGTCTAGGTAAATCCCAATCCACTAATCCGCAAAATCTAGAAAAGAATCCATTGCAAAAGCTACCTATGAAACCGTAGAAATTGAATCCTGAGCAATTTCCTCACAACAAAATCAAACTCAACAAAACAAAATTAAACTCAACAAAAACAAACAATCAAAGTAATTCACAATAAAATGGATAAGAAAAAACTCACCGCTCAGCTGGGAACCGGAACTATGGATTACTTTTGAATTTTGGCTGTTCGCGGTCAGCGCGCTCATACAAGCGCATTGGTGCGCGCTATTTTACGGTTTGGAGCCCAATTTCAAGCCAAACACGTGAAAAGTACCCCTCATTTGAACACCCATAACTTCGTTGAAAGTGAAGCTATCGGAGAGGGTAAGTGGGAATGAGTAGAGCTAGGTTGGCTCTTGTCACCTGAATTGAGCGATTTCAAAAACGTTCCGATTCCAGAGATTTTCCCCGTTGTGATCATCGTTGTGATCCGTCTGTGATCATTTTTGCGAACCGCGAGTCGCTACGCTTTGGACGTCCATGGCAAGCTTCATACACGGACCTTTCGTAAAAAAAGAACTGTGCCGGAAGCTTGAAGATTTCTACTTTCCAGCAAGGTTTTAATTTCCTTCCTAGACCTACTATTCGAAAAAATTCCCCGTTGTGATCATTTTGTAATCACCCCCCACGACACCGAAAAATCAACCCCTCCGAGGCCAGGAAACCTCCAGTTGGCTCGAAGACTTTGGTATGCTTCTGAAACACATGTTTTCGTCAAGCATATCAGGTAATAGGCCATTGGGCGCCAATTGGCATCACATATGCAATGCGCCATGCATGGGGCTTTCACGCAGGTGTTTGAAAGGTGTAACTTCTAGATAGGGCTTCCCAATTGCAAGCAAATGTGCTCCTACGATCAGAAAAGTCCGGGAATGTACTTTTGTTCTTTTTTTTTCTTTTTTTCATCTTGTTTACTAACGCGTTACGTCGTGAGTCCTCTTGTTTGTTTATAAATTCATGGGGCCCTTGTGGCGGTGATCGTAGCTCCTATCATACCGCCCTTTCCTCGTACGTATTGTCAGTAATGCGCCACAACACGGAGTGCTGGACGCTGCTTGGACGTACGTAGGTACTGCGACCCCCCCCCCCGCTCGACAGCAAAATTTTGTAAAAAAAAACAGAAACTTTTTGGGAAAAAATAGACAAAGTGGTAGGAGGTTGGAAAAATCTAACAGGGAAGAGGAACGTGGGAGGGCCGGGTCGTACTTGAAGCATGGAATTAGCGGGGGCGGCTCGTATTTTTTCAAGGATACATGATCACACAATGCCAATGGCGTGGGGCCGCTGCGTGGCAGATACAGCCGCGTCACCATAACCTTTATAGGAAACGTCGCGAGTGTCGCATTTATACCAAGACCTCATAAATTTTGCGCAAGTGCTGCATTATATCGAGTCAGTTCGCTGAGAAGCTCTCTGCCAGTTTCTTCGCGATGTGGCAAAACATCCAAGTTGGCTGCTTCGCGCGACGTCGCGAAGTCTGAACAACCTCGGGGAGCACTGCGGCGAGTGGATGCTCCCTAAGCGTAGACTATTCAGACTTCTTCTTATTTTTGCTGGGTAGTACATTCATGCACCCCGTCAGTGAGTTGAGCTGTAGGACAGTAACCCGCGAGATAAAGACATTGATGAAGTGGTCACTAGCCTGCTGATAAAGTGTGCAATTCTCGCAGAGCAAACGATACTCGCTTGACCTGTCTCTGTGTCTGAGGGGGAGGAGGGGGCCTACCAGGATTAAAAAGAGTTTGAGAGAAGTGTGAAAGAGCTCGCTTCTGAAAGAAATTTTCTCCGACAGTAGGACGCGCTCTGACCATGAAAGAATGGCCACTCACGGAGTCCACCGCAGCGACTTTGCCCTTATTAGAAAATATCTCCGATTCACGTTGTCCCATAGCAATACGGATAAATCACGTCCAGAGTAAACTCTTTGTAGAATCTGAATATGGCTCAAGTATTGCAGAAAAAGTACATTGTTGAAATTGGATCACGTACGGGATGATGTTGAAGGCCTCCTTGTTTGCCTCCTTCTCGAAAAAGTTCATGAGAGTAAGAACAGAGCTCTCGACTGTTGGTCGAATCTGAAAGTAGCAAGAAGTTCACAAACAAGTATTCATAAAGTTGAGATCCCTGGACTTGAAAAATGAAATGCGCAGCGTTGCTTATCGTTTGCTCCAGTAATTTCGTCTCCTGGTGTTTCTATAGCGGGAACTGCGACCCGACAAGAAAGTTGTAGGCAATCGAAAAAAGCTGTTCAAAGAAGGAGCCTCATTTTTTGACTGGTTATGGCTAGATAGCATTCCCCGACAAACCTTTTGTGGAAGGAAAACAGCAAGTGACAGTGTCTTTCGATGGCAGGTGTGAGAAGTCGCTAACTAGAGGATTTTTCTCCGTCCTGAACAGTTTGGAGGGGAGATGCGTTTGATGACGCTATTACGGCAGACAGACTGGCTTGCTGCTATGAAGGCACGTTCCGCGATAAACTAAGGCTAGGTTCTCATAACCGTGCACGATGGTCAAGCAGGCAACGTCAGAGGCTATGCTGCTTTTAAAAGTTGAAAAACAGCAAGCAAAACGCAGGGCGCTCAGGTTTTAGGCCCATTGGCGCCCGATAGGCCCATGCCAGCCCCAGTGACAAGTGACGTGAGACGCCATTTCGCTCTCTCGCGCCGTCGTTTATTCTGGGCCTCTAACTCTCGTCTCCTAATCGGTGTGTCGCACGCCTTTCGCAATTCACAATTGATCTTGACCACCATACGCTCGTCCTGGTGATCATGATCAATTGCAATAAAGAGGGTCTTATTCCGGGTGCTTTTTCGTGTTTCTTTCTTCTTCAATAAGTCAACAAACACACGGCAATTCTATTTTTGAACAACGGATTATCCAAGTGTCACCTGCCTATGCCCCCACATTTACCGAGTTCGGGCGGAGCTCAACAGGGTGGTCTACGGTGGCGGAGAAATCAACGACCTCGCTGAACTCAGGCACGGAATCACGGTCGCGTGGCAGAATCTCTCGATGGCGCTTGTACAGAAAGCTGTGGCGGAGTATCGGATAGTGTACAATGTGTTAATTCGACGGTGGAAATGTCCAAGTCAGAATTCAATAAAGGTAACTTATTTCGCCTTGAAAGTCCGATAAAAAAGTGTCCTCCGTTGCTCCCCCCCCTCTAAAGACCACACTGCATCCAAACATCATGCAGTTCTAAATAGAAATAGAATGCGTATGGATCCCAGAAGAGATTGATCGAAGCCGGAAGATCCCTTATGTTAATCCTCAATGTGTGTTCACTTAAACCCGGAATCATCCTTTCTCGTTAGGCTCGTAGCCAGAAATGTAGCGTTTTTTGGAATAGTACAAACCTTCTTTAGAGAAGTCGACGAAAAGGCTGGAGTAGAAATAGTTCTCAGGCGCTTCCATCGCA